TATATTTGGTTGAAAAAGGCACGAAGATTTGAGCTTGAAACCTCAACTTTGATGGCAAATTGCTTAAGCCAAAGGGGGAAGATATAGTGAATCGATATAGCTGGGATAGGACAAATTTCTATGGAAAAGAGGGAGAGAGAGAGAGAGAGAGAGAGAGATGTCTTTATTCCTTGGGAGAGAGAAGCTACAAATAATACACACCAATGCAAATATTCCTTTAGGTTGGGGTCACTTGGGCTGGGTGCATCAGGATCCACCATGACCTGCAACAATGAATTAATGTATCATATGTACTGGAGACTTTTTACCAGAGTGCCGTGATCATATGACCTGTCTAAATAAAGTAGTAATAGTATATTAATTAAACGTTAATTACTTTACTTACCAGAGTGTAGAAAGTCCTAAGATCATCCCCACCAATATCAACTCTAGGTTGTTGGACAACTTGGGAAGGTTTGAGCTCGCAACCATTGTTAACCTCCTTCAAACCGTAAGTGACCCTGAGAGAAACAGACCTTGTAAACGGGTCTAAAACATCACCTACCACTCTTCCAACAACAAGCGGGTCCCTGTCCCTAGGCATTTTCTTCCTTTCTTTCTTTTTATCTTTTGACGAATAAATATATATACGAAGTTGAAACCGAAACTGAAACTCAAACACAAAGTATCCAAAGAACTAGTTGGATTTGATATTGAGAAGATCGAGTTGGTTTGGTGATTCCATTCGAGAGGGCCATTGGCTATTTATATTCTGCTGCATGCTGCTGCCCATTTTGTTTTTGTTCTTGTGCAACCAGTAACTTAAAAAGATATTCTGATTGCTCCGTGGATCGCTTTTGCCTTTTGCTCGATATTTTTATTTTCTTTTGATTCTTACTAAGTTCCTCTCTTTCATCAAACCTGTAAAGTCAAGTAGTGGACCACCACTCTTTATTCTCCCATTCATCACTTTATGCGTTGTCGGTCCAAAAAGCTCCCCCATCATCGTACATGTTGTCAAAATCTGCTCTTCCCCTCCAGAAGAAAATTCTAGCTACCTGGCAATCTCAACTTATTCAAATTCTTTTTTTCTTTACATATATATATTTATATATGTATATAGTATGAAATAGTCAGCGATTAGAGACTTGTAACTGAATTGGTTAAGAATAATAATTATTCTTACATTTGAGATAATGTGATCGTGTGAGTGCATAAAAGGAGAAAGAAAAGCAAATTAAAGCGTAAGTTTTGTTATTGGGTTGTGTGGCATAGGCGAGGCGAGGCAGTGGCAGATCGCTTTCTCAGGGAATCTTGGTGGATTCAAACAAAGTAGCTAGTCTGGAATGACTACGTGTGTGGACGTGATGAATTGGACCAAAGGGTTTAGAAGAATCGCGTGAATGTGGTTAATTTTGAGTGTGGACATACATGATTATGAGATTCGACATAGTTGACGATGAATACATACATATCTTTCCTCCTTGTATCTGTAGGTGTAGCCCTGTAGCCCTGTAGGCTGTCTTTGGTGGTACTTGTACTATTTGGTAGCTCATGAACTCAAAACTGTAGGTTCCACTGCACACTGCCAACTCATAAACTATATATTCATCATATCATCATATCATATCATGTCACTGGTTTATATACTTATATATCGCGCGTCAGTAGGTGTGAGCAGTGATTAGTCAGTCAGACATATACATCATGAACACCACACCACCATCACCTACTACCTTACGCATGCACTTCCATCCCATTCCCCACTATACATCGGTTGTCTTGTCTGTCTCTGATCTCATCTGCTAAATACATGAACGTACATGTATTATTATTATCAACTGCCGAATCTCTCTCCTTAAGAGTGTTAGACCCAACGATCCGTCTCCATCCAGTGCCGTGCTCATTTGGACAGGTCAAAAGATCACGACGATCGAGCTATATGGCAGATATTTTCATTACTTTTTTACAACTTTTTTTTTTTCTTTTCGTCCTTTCTCAACTGATTATATAGTCCTTGTACGGACTTCTCTTGTCTTACCTACGTATAGTTATTGTATATATGACCTCATTCCTTCCAGATATATATATATATATATATATATGTACCAAATTTTCCTTTACTTAAAGAAATTTTAAAAAAAATATTAATTTTATTGTGATTGAGAGGAAGCAATGCGCAAAGGGCCTTCCCTGCATATTGACATTGTGGTGTGCGCTTGTCACTTTTTTGGGTGTGGGAGTGAGAGGATGAGGCCGCACAAACACAAGAAAAGAAAAAGATAGATAGATACAAGAATTGACTGATGAGCAAGAGAGGGCCTTAGCCCGACTCTTTTTTAGGTACTAGTACTAGTTGTTGAAAGCCCTCGAGGGAATTGGGATTATTGCATTCCATTCATTTCATGTTTTCATTATTCTTCTTCCAAGTTCCAACCGATCAATTTTTATTTTTTAAAAAAAAGGACAAGTGAGTGAATCAAAGCTGGACAAAGACTGCGTGCGTAGCCAAAAAACGAAGGAACAAAGGGATACAGAATCAATTTGGATTGGATGTTCAGCAATTGTCGCCCATCAATTTATATACTTTGATTTCTCGAGATACATAAAGCATTGGTCACCGGAGAACCTTCCAAATAAGGAAATGATTCGCTTTGTGGCCAAACCACAACTCCCTTCTCCTCCTCCTCCTCTCTAAACCTATCCATCGCACGCATGAAGCAAGTAGACCCACTTTTTTTTTTTTAAAAAAAAAATCCCTTTTTCTATCTCTTGTAAGTTAGAACATAATTGCCAATCAAATTCCATATATATAATCATAATATAAAACATTCGCACGTAAATACCATACATATATCATCTTCTTTTTTATGGAGGCGGACACACACACCCCACCAGAGTCCTGTCCACTTACAAAAGATAAGTGAAAAGCGATCGAGGTGTGCCAACCACCCTTTTTCAAGATCCAGCACAGCACAGCACCTGATTATCAATTCGTGAATATATTACTATTCTGATTTTTGGGCTCTCTCAGTTCCATTTTGGTAGAGTAAGTTTACCTTCTTTTCTTTTTTGCCAGGTGTTTTTTACGCCATTTCCAGCTGCTAGTTCTCAAATGGGCCAAACCACAGCGACGGCGACCAACGTATAAATGGGCCGCCAAACCACAATCATTGAAAATTTGATCACCTTTTGTTATAACCAAGACAAATGTTTGTTTTGCTAAAGTATCGATCTAAGGTAATACATTCAAGCAAAAATTAATATGATCAATGAACTAGCCTCTAACTCATGGCATGTTTGATTCAAGATTTACAAGTTTGAAAATGGATATGAAATTGCATTTTTATGTTTGACAAGTGCACTACTGAGAATACATATCATGTGATCATTTTTTCTCATATATACCACTACTTCACCTGATCTTGCCACGCAAAACGCACTAGCGTTGGTCGATGTCAGTGCTTGCGTTAGACGGGGCCCTCTTTATTCACTTGTTCATGTGGGCTACTTTTCTTTCTTTGTGGGGTTCACCAGTTTTCAGTCCATACAATCCATTACACAATATTTTGGCCCATGCAATACATGGGTTGGAGAAGGTTTTTAGGCTAAAAACCAAAATTTGACGTTTAGCTCGTTAAAGTTGGAGATGGCCATTTCACAAATTTAGCCATTTCACACCTAAAAGCCATCTCCAACAAGTGGATTAAATATGTCACGGAAAGGCTATAATGAGGGCTTAAAGTGAGGAGGTTATTTGAGGAGGTCAAATCCCACCATCAACAAATGTAAAGAAATCATGAGACTTAAATATTTTAAATGTTTTGACGGTCGGATCAGTCTCCTCACTTTAACTCCTCATTGTAGAAGCTCCCAATAAGTCATGCTATTGGGCCAAACTTAGTTAGCATGCGGAAGAGGCAAACTATTTCAGGCCACTTGACGTCAGGTAGCCATCATTATCATTTTCCATAAAAAAATCATAAAAATTGGTCTTTTTTTAATATTAAAAAAATCTAAAAAAATCTAAAAAAATCCTTATTTTTTTCTTCTATAAATACCAACCTCATTTCTACATAATTTCCCACGTTCTTTTCATCATTCTATCTAATTTCCTACATTCTTTTCATCCTTCATTTTACATACTATCCTTACTTTTTTCATCATTCCACAGAATTTCTCACAAAATTTTCATTTTGAACCTAAGATTTTAAAAAATAAAAATCTCTCCTTGTTTGTTGCTATTCTCTTTCTTATTAGTCTTTGACGTCCAACAAAACCAGTCTACTTTCGAGTAATAAAGGGAAAATTACTAAAAAAACGTCACATTTTCGAAGAAAAAAAAAACATAAATATTTAAGTTTAATTATTTTGTGGCAAAATTGTTAACCATGTTTCTAAATTGTTCTGCATGGAATTTAATTATACTATCTTTCTCAGGCGCCACGAGTACTGGCAAATGCCATGCGTCCCCCACGCGTCTCATTTTCCGGTGTCCCGCGCAAAAGAACACCAGAGGCGCGAAAAACGAAAATCATAAAAAGCGTTATTTTCGCAATTTTGGAGGCAAACCTTTTTGGCGGGAAAAATAAAAGTATGGCAACCCTTTTGGTAATATTATTCTCCAAGACCATTTTATTTAATTATTTATAGAAAACAGAAAAAATAAATAAATATGTTTCGTCTTCAAAATTGTTCATAGCTGTTGGAAAAATTGTTACTTTATATATCTGGTTGCCGCTCTGTCTCTACAACTCCCACCCATCTTTTCAATATATCCAAGAATTTCTTTGTTTAAAAAAGATAAAAGAAGAAAAGACGGTGAAGATATTTGGAAAAGCCATTCTTTCTCTCATTAGGGTTTCTGAAATACTCACCTGTTCACTTGTCCTATTCGTTTTCTTCTGAATCCCCAGTCCATTGGACCTAAGTAGCGTCGTTTTTCCGTCTGGTTCAGATTATCTAGGAGTTCGGGCTTTTGATCTGTGAATTTTCATATGTGTTTGAGTGAATCGGACTTTTCTAGCCCTAGAGTTTGAAAATGATGTGTGAAGTGGTGGCAATTGACGGCGGAGATAACCCAAGTGGCCGGAAATCCAACGACCAAGATCGAGTGAGGAAGACCCAGAAGCGAAAGAGGGCTAGCTTGAGCCCAGAATATTTGGGACTTGAGGCAAAAGAGGTTCAGATTGGATCTTTTCGCAAACAACTTGATGGGTTGTTTGGTTTCTACAAGGAAGTGATGGGTCAGAGAGTCGATTTGGATGTGAAGCAATGTGGTAACAATATGAATTCGGTCATTGGGGCTTTGATCGAAGAGAGTGGGCTGCCATTGTCGAAGCTTGTTGAGGAGGTTTTCGAGAAGGTCAATAACGGAAATGAGGCTTTTGGCAATGTGACTTTGGCCTATGTGAAGAGCATTGTGCTCTTTGTTGGACAAAGAGTGATGTACGGTGTGCCGAATGTTGATGCTGATGTGTTGGAGGACGAGTCCGAGTCGTGTCTTTGGTGTTGGGAGGTGATGGTTCTTTTTACTATTGAATTTTTTTGAATGTTCAATTTGTGCCCATTTGTATTGGTTTTGGTTTTTTGATAACTGAGTATGTTCAATTTTATGTGGTTTCCTGAATTGTTGATAGATTTGTGAACCTTGCTTGTTACTTTATGTTTTGGTTAATTTTGTTTAGATTATTGTGCTTCTTTTGTATGTATAGGTCTTCATCTAATTGCAGTTCTATTGTGGGCGTATTTAATTTGGCGCTGGGAGGGAATACCGAATGCCCCTGTCAGTTTGCCTTTGTTTCTTATTTTCTTTTCTTTGTTTTTGAATAAATGAATATTTCATGTTCTTAATTTGACTGCCTTCGATGTGTGTATAAAAGGATTTTGTTTTTTTACCCACATTTCTTTTTCTTTTTCTGATATGTTGAGTGTTTACCGTTTTCTTGCTTGCATATTTTGTTGGGCATACTAATCCTTGCTGTTTGGCAACTTTCTGTACTTCTCTATTTACTTGATCTTTGGTCTATTAAGTTTTTATCTTTTCTTACCTCTTGCATAGACAAGGGATGTAAAGTTGATGCCAGCACCTGTGCGCGGAGTGTTGAATATTAGGCGCACTTGTCGAAGAAAGATCCATGAGAGGATTACTGCGGTTTCTGGTACATATATGCTTCCTTAATTAAATGACTGGTTTTGGGTGTCTTGCGCATTACATAATGATGACCAATAATGCTATGGATTTGTTTGTCTTTTTCACTTGTGTTATAATTGAATCACATGATAGTTGTATTGTCATCACATGCCAGATGGGTTTCACCTTAATTCTGATTGTCAACATAAATATTGGCTTCAGCATTATTCTCAGTCAATACATCACCGAAATATTTACCTCCATCCTTAAAAACCTTGTAACATGTTACTGCTGTTTGGCTGAAACAGAAGAATGCAATCTAGTCGATTTCCTTGTCCTCTGTTTTTTGTAATTTGAATGCTCCCTGAGACTATACCAAGAGAAAAATCATATTATGATTTGTCATGCACATGATGTATCTGGGGAGCATTGGTGCACTAACTCAATGCTTACTAGTTGTGATATGACTAGCCATGCATAAACACCTCTTGAAGCAAAAATAAGAAAAGGGGTTGGGTAGCCTTTCATTTACTCTAAGCTGATTAATGGAAATGTAGAAAAGCAAACGATGCATAGAAATTGAAGAATAAAGACAGGAAGTGACTTGTTTGCTCTAGATTGATGTTTCCAATCAACAATCAGAAATTCTGAAATGCTTCTTTGGGAGGGGTGGTGCCACATTGTTACAGATTATCGTTGTAACTTATATTCAATTTCTTTTATCTTTTTTGGGTAGTGACATGCCATGGTAAAAAAAAAAAGTCTCTTTATGTTGGAGAAAAGGTTGTTCAATGTTTCCAAGGTCTGAGTGAATGGCTGAGAGCGTGGAGTAATTAAAGGTGGTGCAAGCTGGAGTCCTATTCTCTTGTACGCTGATGTGACAAATCTTTTATACCTTTTGACCATGTTTCTTTAAGTTTTAGAGCCCGCATCTAGTGTCTTGTTAGTTTATACACTGTACACATAAATTCAGCTCATTGATGTATGTTTTATCTAATTCATTTTCATTTGACTATGAAAAGAAATATAAGTTAGTGTAGCGGTGTCCATGATCCTGATTTGAACATTCTGCACCTTTAAATACTACACTGTCGTCTTTGTTACATTCATTTAGTTTTGGATTGTGAGGTGAGTTACTGACATTTATGTTTGTGCTAGCAATGGCAATGGCATTACAAAAGCCAGAGAGCGATCAAAATTACATACATGACCTGATGAAGGCATCCGAACAGCTTGATAAAGCGCTGTGCGAGGCAAAGATCCGCTCATTAATGGATCGCTTATCAGTGAAAAATGGTGCAGACATGTATGTATATTCAGTGAGTATGAGTAAAGAGTATATTCAATTTTCATTTTATTTCCTAATAAGTTTTTTTTTTGTTTGACTGTTGTCATAGTGCAAAGAAAGAGGCTAAAAGAGAAGAAAAATTATTAATCAAACAAATGGAGAGAGATAAACGAGTGTCTGAGAAAGAGAAAAAAAGATTGGATCGTGAACGTCAAAAGGAAGAATGGTTAAGTGTAAGTTATTTGTTGACACCCTCTGGGCTACCTAGTTTTCTTGTCAGGATTAACTGTAGAAGTATTTCAGGAGAAGGAGCTAAAGCGGCTTCAAGGAGAGTCAGAAAAAGATGAAAAGCGTCGTGAAAAAGAAGAGTCTGAAATGAGGAAACTGCAGAGGAAGCAGCAAGAAGATGCTGAAAAAGAACAACGCCGTCGAGAAAAAGAAGAAGCTGAGTTGAAAAAGCAACTATCCATAAAAAAGCAAGCTTCAATCATGGAACGTTTTGTCAAAAGAAACAAAATCATCGTGGCATGCCAGAGTGACCAATTTCCAACTAAAGCAACTATGTCTGATTTGTTGAGTAAAAACAGTGAAAATATGCATGAGGTAGTCACCCAGTCAATGGATCATACTCTTTCATCTAATGAGGAGATTGTTGCTGAGGATATCCGCAGGTTGGCATCATTAATGTTCAAACCATATAACCATTAAAGATGCATTCTTCTCAATTTATAATGATAATTTCTTCATACATTGCAGGTTGCACATGTCTTCCTGGCGCCACTTAGGCCATTCTATTCGGTCAAACAGAAACCAACACTGGGGCATACGGCAGAAGCCTAAGACTGAACTATTTAAGGAACTTAAGCTCACAACCAGTAAAGGACTAGTTCGTGGTGATGATTTAAGTACAGAGAAACTTGTAGATAGATGGAGAGAACATGTTTCCGATGATAAATCATGTCAGGCTAATACAGATTTTTCTCTTACTGATGTTAAAAAGTACAAACGGGGAAAGCAGTTGCTACAATTTGATAAGAGCTGTAGACCTGCATTCTATGGTATATGGCCTAAGAAAAGGTGAGTTCATCTCCTTCATGAATTTTGGTTGTGGGAGAGTGAGACTTAAGTGAGATATATTAAGCCCAAATTGTGTCTGAAAGGAGGTCTAAAATAGGCACCCTCAAAGAGTCCGCTATTTGATCAGTCAACTTGGATGACTGCTTGAAGTTTGAGAAAGCAACATATCATTTGTCAATTGCCAAGTAATTGGTTGGAAACATGCCATGTTTGTTTATAATATCTGGTAGCTAGGTTACAATAGTAAAAGGGGAGCAAGAAAGTAAAGCATTTGAGTGCTTTACATGTTTTTGTTTGTCTATTTGGATCTAAATTTACACAATGCATATTGTTGTGAATGAGAATTTTCTGTTGTCTTTTTATGCAATAGTGGAATTAACTCATAACACTTTGTGTTATGTTTCAGTATAGAAAGGTTTTTTTTCCTGGTTGCCTAGCCCCTAGAAGGCTCAACTAATTGCGGCGGAAATATTAGACTGATTATATTTGTTGTAATGTGGTTTTCAGTCATGTTGTTCGACCCTGTCACCCTTTTAGGAAGGACCCGGACTTGGATTATGATGTGGATAGCGATGAGGAGTGGGAAGAGGTAATATGAGACTCTTTTTCATACCATGTAGTTGATATGTAGGCGATAATTGTCAGTAATGACTGTCATTATCCAGGAGGATCCTGGTGAAAGCCTGTCTGATTGTGATAAAGACGATGAAGAGGAAAGCTTAGAAGAGGGGTGTTCAAAAGCTGATGATGAAGATGAAAGTGAAGATGGCTTTTTTGTACCTGATGGATATCTCTCAGAAAACGAGGTCAGTAATTTTGATGATTGAAGTTGCGAAGTTACTTTTTACCCTTGTGATAATATTTTGGATGATCATTGAGTATGTCTACAAATTTGGTTGGTGTGCTATGTGTGTAGGCCATTGTAAGAGCTAATGTCATGGAGTAACTCTTTAGGCATAACATTTTCCTCTCTAAATTGTTCTACTTGTCATTAATGAGTGAAATCTTGTCCATTCTCATTCACAGAATAAAAAGTAAAGAGTGGTTGATAGTTGTATTTCAGTTTCATGGATGAGTTTTCATTTAGTTACATAATTTTCAGACTTCTATAGTATCGAAATGCTCACAATTCTCATCTAATTGTACTCAATTAGTATTGTACGGAGATATCTAAGTCATTTACATTTTCATTTCCTTTCCTTCTAGTCATTTACAGGTACAATTGGTGAGTATAACGTGAATGATTTACTTTGCAAAAATATTTTATTAGTTGCCTACATTCCTTAAACTTCTTTTTGCTTATCCTAGCTGACTTGTGTAAGACTTGTGCTTGTATTGTCTTAAGCCATTTGCTAAGTACTCTTGTCAAATTGTTGAACTACATGTCCGGCTAAAATTAATTGTTTCAACTCTCCCTTGTGTGATGTTATTTGAAAATCAAATTCTTGCTAGAAGTCCTGAAGACCTGAAAACTTATGATTAATAAAAAAAAATCTAATTTTAGTTGACGAGGATTCATTTATGTTTCAGTCCCTCAAAAAGAGGTTCATGTGTATTGGTCTAAAAAGGTCGTAATTGAAATGTTTGAGCCGTTCCTTTACGTTCAGAGAATGCTGCATGTAAAACGCTTTTTGAGGCAAGTTTACCCCATAGCTTGGAAATACCTCAACTGGTTACCGTAATATAATATATGTACAGTGGGCTTGAGTTGACGGTTCCTCATGTAATACTATTTGTGGGTCGCACTCTGCTTATAAATTCATTATCCGAACTGTATTTTTTAAAGTCCATTTAAGAATATTGTTGAAAAAAAGTCAGCCCCACCGGAAACCACTGAGGCATCTATGTTTGATCAAATAAATAGACGAACACATCGTTAACGATTTGGCTGAAATGATCACCATGTAATCAAAAAGTTGAAGTACCTATTTATGAAACTTGCCTTTTTTTATGCATGCAGGGAGTACAAGTTGACAGGATGGAAACTGATATAACATATGAGGAGACCAGAATCTCACCTAGTTTTACGCAAGATTTAGAGAGCGAGAAATTCTCTATTTTGCTTCGACAGCAAAAATATTTAGGAAATTTGACTGAACGCTCTCTTCAGAAAAATCAGCCTTTAATTATATCAAATTTGATGCATGAGAAGGTCTCTTTGCTAACAGCTGAAGATCTTAATGGTATTCTTAAGCTCGAACAGATGTGCTTGCAAGCTCTTAGTATGCACGTATTTCCTGGCAGTTCACCTGTGGAGATATCAGTTGATGGCTTACCAGAAGAAGACCAAGAAGTTTGCCTTTCAAATGGCACGCCCTGTGTTAAATCAATTTCCTCTGTGACTGTTATACCAGAATCGGATTTGCCTACAATAGTAAGTAGTGTATACATCTTGAATCAGAAACCTTTGTGTGAGGTTTCAATTTTACACGAGCTGTTTCATTAGTACTGCATCCAATTTAAACTTAGTGACAGTATGAACTATAAATAGGGAGAGCGTTAGCTTCATAAATATTTTGCTTTGCTATGAATTTCTTTCTTGTTGACAGTGCCAATAGTTGGCTGCTAAGAATATTATAATCTTGCAATTTTCAGGTGTCTGCCATTCAGTCATGCTCACAGGGCATCAATAAAGTGTTACAAACTTTGCAGAAAAAGTTCCCAGATATGTCGAAGTCTCAGTTAAGGAATAAAGTGCGTGAGATATCAGATTTTGCAGATAACCGTTGGCAGGTTAATGACTCATAATTTGGTTAATTGCCATTACCCCACCGCCCCCCTCTCCTCAACACACACACACACACACGCACACACATGCACACATTCAAGTCTTGAATATTTCACACACACTCAAGTCTTGAATATTTGAAATCTCAGAGTTTGGCAGGTTAATGACTCATAACTTGGTTAATTGCCATTACCCCACCGCCCCCCTCTCCCCAACACACACACACACACACACACACACACACACACAAGTCTTGAATAATTGAAATCTCAGAGTTTGGCAAGTTAATGACTCATAACTTGGTTAATTGCCATTACCCCAGCGCCCCCTCCCCCCCCTCTCTCTCTCTCTCTCTCTCTCTCTCTCTCACACACACACACACACACACACACACACACACACACACACACACACACACACACACACACACACACACACACACACACACACACACACACACACACACACACACACACACACACACACACACACACACACTCAAGTCTAGAATATTTGAAATCTCAGAGTTTGGTCACTCAGGAGTAGAGATGTAAAATGGTTTGTGCTGCCATCTGCGTGATATTTCAATTAGGCACAATTGTTTATGGAATTTTTATGTGCCTGTGCCCTCTGGTGCTCGATTGTGTTGAGCTTAGGCCCAGAACAAGCATTCACTAGTGTCGTGTCTTAAAAAAGGGGCTCATGTTCATCTTGTAATGTAGGTGAAGAAAGAAATTTTGGACAAAGTTGGCTTGTCAATATCTCCTGGTATGTTTGACCTGACCATCCTCAAATTACCATAATGAATCTGGTTCTTTAAGACTAATATTCCTTTGTGATTAACAGAAAAGAGAGCTGGGCAGACCAAGAGTATTGCTGCATTTTTCTCGAAAAGGTGCTTGCCGCCTACTGGTAAATGTTTCAATCCTAATGAAAAGTCACCTCAGCCAGCTGTGAAGCCAGGTTGTTTTGGACAAGGGCAGCAGAGTTGCACATATGAACGCCCGTAGGTTGCTGTTTCGTTTTGTTTTTTCTTTTTGTAATATATGGAATGGATTTATGGGCTGTTTTTTCGGTCAATAGCATAGCATGTATCGGCTGCAGATACCCAGATTGTCCCAATCCAAATCCCATAGAGGTTTGGTGTAAACTCTCTTTTTTTGTTTCAGAAAGTAAAACAGATTCAATAGGCTAGGAATTTCTACTTCTGCTGCTTGCTTGATATCTAACTATCATTTTACGATTACGAAGACTGACTGACTGACTGACTGACTGACTATGAATTGGATACAAAGTTTGCCTTTATTAAAGAGCAGCAATTAGTTGTTGAAATAAACATCTACACGTGACTTTTTAACGTAAGTTGGCTTCTGGCTTTTGGGAAAGTATCTTGAGTCATTTGCATTTATATATATGGGTACGTTATTGGTGGAAAAGCTTTGACAAGAAACATTCAGGATTTTGTCCATAGTTATATATATATATATATATATATGAGGACGGGTGACATTATATTTTTGATACAAGTTTTGACACAAATTTTCAATCATTAGATTAGAATGGTTTGAATGGCTGAGATTATGTTTCATTAATTACTTAAATTAAATTAAATCTCTAATGCCAAGTAAATTTCATTTTTATTTATTAATTATGATAATCCCGAAAATTACTCAATTATCTTTCCCCTTTTTGTTTTCTTATCATGATCTTCTCAATTGATAACCTGCGAAACCCCATCATTACCTTCTCCTTGCCATTGTCATCTACACCAATCGAGCATTCTTCCACGGTATAGAAAATCTGTCTCAAGCTACCTATATTGAAGAGAAAATAAGATATTAATATTTAACCAAAAAAGAAAAAAGCCCAGATTTGTTGCAATATTTCTTCTCTACCGTTTGGTTGATCTAACTCTCTCTCTCTCTCTCTCTCTCTCTCTTCTAACATCTTAATGCTTTTATTCATTATGATTAATAATAACATTAAAAAATATATGGCAAAAGACAGTTTGCTGTGCAGTTCATTGTGTGTGTGGATGGGGTGTTATCCCCAAGCCTTTACTTCGAGAGTCATAATCTATGTATAACTGTAACAACCCAAAAAATAAGCAATAAAAAAAAAGGCCAAAAACAGAGTTAGGGATAGAGAAGAAAAAAAATTAGAAACCTGTAAAGCTTCTAGAAGAAAGAGGAGGATGATGGTAACTGAAGAATTCTAGAGGATACGAAATAGGAAGATTTTAGAAAACATTGATTGAGACAATAGATAAATAAGAAAGAGAAAGTCAATTAATAATTATTTTTAATATATATTTTTCTTAAAAATATATCATTAGTTTAGTTAATCTTAGCCATTCAATCTATTTCAATCTAATAGTTGAAAATTTGTGTCAAAACCTTGTGTAAAAAATATAGTGCCACGAATCCGCCCCCTATATAATATTATGGTTGAAATTATTCAAAACTGCTCTATTCACCAAATATTCTTTAAATACATTTACTTTATTTTAAAGGGACATACATAAAACAAAAATGAAATATAAGGCACAAAAATAAAAGCTTATTGACATTCACCTGAGAGAGCTAATTAGACAATTAAAACTGAAGGAAAATACAGGTGGGAGATTGGTTTATTTATTGGACGTCCTTGCCGCCCTTGCTCTTGCCTTTGTTCATAATTTATGCTGGGGCTGTGCGGGGTGGTGGGCACACACCCAACCCCCAACCCCCAACCTGAAGTTTGGTTTGATAGATTGTCGAAACTAAAGGAGTAGAGGGATATCTCACACATACATAACTATAATGTCGTAGGAATTAAAAACCTGAGACTTGTGTTGGCCTAACACATATGCTTTTAAATGTCATTAATTGGGGAACTTGGTTCCTTCGTTGGTACAATGTTAAGTATTTACTACAACCATCCGTGTCCATCACCATGAAAATTTCTGCTTACTTGTCTTTTGTTGTTATAGTTTTGCTCATTATGGGGTGTCACCTCACCTGGACTGGAGGATATGATATGAGGCTATTGTATTTGTATGCCATGCTATGCCAAGCTCTCTCCGCTGCAGCAACCAGCAAGTAACGGATCCATGTAGGAATATTATTTCTTGATCTTGATCTTCTTTCTCGTTTTGGGTCCCACCCACCGCACCCATGAAAATGTAGTGGTGGCTGCTTCTGGCTCTCTCAGATTTTGTTTACGGAAAAAACAACACCTTAATTCATCGGTCTTAACTTTCAAGCACGCATCTCCAAACGTTTTCAAGTCAAGGGGTAACCCTTCAAAGATTTACACTAATTAATTATTGTCAACAACCAAATTAAAACCCCCACACAGACACAGATATATATATTTTATAAAAACAAAGGCCTCCTACAGTGAGCCTCGTATCAATCAACGGAAACATACTTGGTGGAGAAATGGAACTGAGAATTGCAACCTATATTCTTTCTGGGCTTTGTTTCCTGCACTGCCGTGTTGTATTATTATTTGGGAATTTTTTTTTTTTTTTTTTGGGGGGATAGATATTTGAGATCTACACTGTACAGAATATAAGACTATATTTGGCTTGCGGGCCTAAACAATAAAAATGAAATAACCAAAGGAGCAACCAAACCAAACCGACCAAAAATCAAAGTGGCAAGTAACGTAATTAGGTTGGAAATGACTGGTCCTTCTGGGAATACGGCAACTTTAATAATGAAGTTTCCGTCTCTCTCGCCAAGCATTTCCTCGTTTGGTTGCGGTTGTTCCTTTCTCATCTCTTCGTGTTGCCTTCTCCCTCTCTCTCCCACACCCACTTTTTAAGAAATAAACACGTCATATAAGCTGAACTGAAACCAACTCAACAGCAAAGCAATTTTGCAAAGCTCTTTTGGATTCAAGAAAGAGAAAAAGAAAGAAAGCAAGCAAGCAGAAATGGCTCTGAGTCTCAATTCCATGATAACCTTCCCATCTCACAACCTCCCTTCTAAGTCCCACAATCTCAGATCTCCAAAAATCTTCATGGCCTCCACTCTTCACTCCTCCCCTAAGTGAGTTTCCATCTTTACTTTTGTTTTTTAAATAATTTTTGCGTGACTGATCATGTTGGGTTATCTGTCCCTTCGCAAAAAATGCAAATGGGTATCTTCAAGAATGATTTTTTAGCCATTCTGTTGATCTGTATTTTTTAAAATTAAAATCTTTTATGGTAATGCAGCTGAATATGGGGTTAATTTCTTAATCTCTATGCGTTGTTTTAGAAAAAAATAAAGAAAGAAAAACTCTTCTGTTTCTTATTTTTCTGATGGTGTTTTTTGAATTTTGGGGTTTGTTTTTTAAATAAATCTCATTCAGATTGTATTTTGAGAAATGTTATGTGGTTATTGAGATCGGTGAAACATAATTGAAATCATGTTTTCTTATTCTGTCCTCTCCCTTCATTTAGCTTTGCAAGTTGCATGATGCTCTATTATGTAGATATAATTCATGGGCACTTCTTTGATGGGATCAGGTTGTAAGCTAGTTTCTTCTTGTTTATTATTATTTTGGATTTTTCTTTTAACTGCATGCATGTATATCTGTTCAATCCTTGCTGGGGAAACATACAAAAGAACTTCCAATGATGATTCAATGTTATTTTTTAATCCTATTTTAGTTTCTTTTTCTTAAAGAGAATTATTTTATGCTTTTATTCCTATTGAATTTTATCTGTGTTGATCTAGCGGGTAAGATTTTGAAAGTGATACGGTGATTTTCTTTTTGTTCTTTTCAATCTGAATTCTGAAGGTGTGCTTGTGCTGTCTGTGAAACTATTTCTCACATTTGTTGAGAGGTAGGTCTGATTTCTTGGGTTTATACTTTCTTTTGGAACTAGGTTCTGTAGGTGGACTAGTTTCATTTATTTATCATATTATTGAATAATATGTGATTTCATATACAAAGATTGATGTCCTGTTGTCCCCTGTGCCTTCATTTTCTGGCAGTTTGATGTTTTATATTTTCTCCAATACTTAAATTATTTTTTTATTTCTGTGTTTGAGTAATTATTGTATCCACCCCGGATATTCAACTTGTATGATTGACAATTGTCACTCTAGTTGGATACTCGGTCTCTTTTTCCAATTAAGTTCAGCTGCTTTCGTTTGTTTAATGTTTGAGTCTTTGCACTATACTTTTTACTTTTTTATTTTCTTTTTTTCAATTGTATATATTATCATGGATTGGTGCAATGTGGGTAGTCAGCTCCTTGTATGAATTTCTTAAACTCTATTTCTCTCTCCGTCTTTATGTTCAAGAGTTCTGCTAAACAATTATCACATGCACCTGAATTAATTATCATAGTCTATTATTCATATAATGCAATATTATTCAAGTATATTTTTCCCTGGTTTCTCATTTATCAAATGTGTAAGCGTCATATTTTTTGGCATGTTTAATAGTATTTTGATTGTCATTTGCATTGGTATACATGAAATCTATCTTTGTCATGTTCTCAAGTTTTCTCCTGTGTCTTATTAGATGAGCATACTTTTAAAAGCAAAATGCTCTCTCTCTCTCTCTCCCCAAAAGTTGGTATTCGTATTCTTTTGCTTGTTTCTTATTTTCATTATCTATTCGTATGCTTCTTGTATATGTACGTTTTCTCCCTCACCTATATAGAATTGTATATAGGTGAAATATGAGGTTTCCTAGGAATACTTATCTAATTGTAATGTAACTTGAAGTATGTTATTTGGGGAATTAGAAAGCTTTCGTAATGGTTGTTAGATTTATCATTTGAAGTATACCATTTTAATATCTTCTGTTTCTGCTTGTTATAGAGAGACCGAGAATCTGAAAAAGTCTTATTGCCCTCCACGTGAGACACATGTTCAAGTGACTCATTCAATGCCTCCTGAACAGATTGAGATCTTCACATCATTAGAAGATTGGGCTGAGAATAACATCTTGGTGCACCTAAAGCCTGTTGAGAAGTGCTGGCAACCACAAGATTTTCTTCCACTCCC